CCAGGAGGCCAGTGGAGATGCACTGAGAAGTTGAATTAAGAACTAAGGATATGAACAGAAATTTCTCAAAAAAGACATTTATGCAGCCAACAAACATATGAAAAACAGCTCACAATTACTGGTCATTAGAGAAATGCAAATCGAAACCACACTGAGATACCATGTCATGCCAGTTAAAATGGCGATCATTAAAATCAAGAGATAACAGATGCTGGAGAGGATGTAGAGAAATAGGAACACTTTTACACTGTTGGTGGGAGTGTAAATTAGTTCACCCATTGTGGAAGACAGTGTGGCAATTTCTCAAGGATCTAGAAATAGAAATTCCATTTGACCCAGCAATCCCGTTACTGGGTATATATCCAAAGAATTATAAATCATTCTGTTATAAAGACACATGTATGTTTATTGCAGCACTGTTCACAATAGCAAAGACTTGGAACCAACCCAAATGCCCATCAATGACAGACTGGATAAAGAAAATGTGGCACATATACTATGCAGCCATAAAAAAGATGAGTTCATGGGCCAGGCGTTGTGGCTCATGCCTGTAATCCAAGCACTTTGGAGGCCAAGGTTGGCTGATCACCTGGGGTTGGGAGTTCAAGACCAGTCTGACCAACATGGTGAAAGCCTGTCTTAAAAAAAGAAAAAAAAAAGGACAAGATCATGTCCTTTGCAGGGACATGGATAAAGCTGGAAACCAGCATTCTCAGCAAACTGACACAAGAACAGAAAACCAAACACCACATGTTCTCACTCATAAGTGGATGTTGAATTCACTTGGGTGTCCATGTGCCAATGAGAACACATGGACACAGGGAGGGGAACATCACACACTGGGGCCTGTCAGGGGTTGGGGGTCAGGGGAGGTTTAGCAGGGGTGAGGGGATAAGGGAAGGGATAGCATTAGGAGAAATACCTAATGTAGACGATGGGGTGATGGATGTAGCAAACCACCGTGGCACATGTATATCTATGTAACACATCTGCACATTCAGCACATGTACCCCAGAACTTAAAGTAGAATAATAAATTTAAAAAAAATCAACAACAAAAAAGAGTAGAAACAGAGCAAGGGATTTTAAAGGATCTGGCAGTTGGCTTCATGTGGGTGACACGCAGCAGGAACACTGGAGATGGCACCAAGATTCCAGGTGCCTGGGGAAATGTGGCACCATGCACTCAGAAGGGAAGCGTCAGAGCAGAAGCAGCACTGGCAAGAGACGGCGATGGTGTCTTTGGATGTGTTGAGAGGATAACACCTACCTGTCTGCTCTTTCCTTCACTTATTTTTATTTAGCTTGTTAACTCCAATCTTAGGTTCTAATATTGGGACACTGAAAGTTTCTAAAATAAAAATCCAAATAAAGCCCCTTGAAGAAGAATCAACAGTAATTATCCTAACTCATCACTTGATTCCATATGCTTGGGGGTCACATGTAGCTAGCTGGTGCTTTTCATCATCGATATGCCCACCCACCCCAAGCAGTCAACTTACTTTGCATTCCCAAGGGGTAGGTCTTAGTTGTAATTTTCCATATGGAGCCAGTGGGCCAGAAATGTAGGGGCCTCTGCCCAAACCACAAAGAGTATCAACTGTCAGGATAGAAACAGTATTCCAGAGATCTGATTATTCAGTCTTAAATAGTCACGAACTCACGTATTTGAAGGGAGATGGCAAGCGTAAGCTTGGCGCCATTTTAAAGTTATTAAAATCTGGTTCTATTCTTCAGTATGTGGATTCCCAGGAAAATTCTGCTCTGATTTTCCTACCCCTTAGGTCTGTGGGTTATAGTAAAAGAGAAGCTGCAGATTAGTTCCGATTAATTTCCATCATGAGAGTCAACTCTTGCTTTTCAGGGAGAGATTAGGGAAGGGATGACATGGGTAATTAAAATCCACAGATAGCACAAACACCCAATGTAACCAGCAATTTCAAATCCTCCTCCACTAAATTTTTCTTATTAGAGGTGTCAAGTAGCAAGGCTCAGCCCACCTTTGGGGGCTGTATCTAACAAAATGTGAACACATTGGCAGGCAGGCAGGTGGGAGCAAGAAGATGAACAATGAGAAGAAGCTGGGGGTTGTGGGCCTTCTGAGATGGAAAATCGCCCAATCTTGCCCACTCTCTGATGCTGTCATTTAGAAGAATCACATCAGCAACATTAGTTTACATTGTGGGCTGCCAGGCAAGATTTTTAGAAAGACCAGCTTACTCTTTGTTCATCACAGGAGAGCAGTTCACTGATCAAGAGCCCCACCCTTGCAGAGAATGGGTTTGCAGGGATTGCAGGGAGAAGGAGGTGACATGGCAGAAGTGGACCTTCAAGAGCACAGGCCTTTCTTATTTGCCTCTGGCCTTAAGTAAGCTCTGCCAGTTTCAGCTATTGATGTGACGTGGGCTCAGCCCAGCTTGCAGCTGCTGCCACTTTAGATTCTCTCAGACAGAGCCTTGCACAGCCTTCGTAGGGCCTCCCATTTGCCAAGCATTCAAGGCTGCACGTTACCTAACCCAAATCATGCCTTTCTTCTCACTACACTCCAAACCATATACTGCCTTTGGCCAGGTTCACCCCTGGTGGGTAACATATCTGTATTTCTTACCACCTTGTCTTTGCTCCTGTCATTTCCTAACCAAATCCCCCCACTCCCCAATTCTCTACCCACTCCTCTTGCTGGAAATGGAACTCCTCTTCAAGGTCCAGCACCTCCTTAAAACCTTCCCTGTTTCCCCCAACTCAAAGCGATGATTCCTTCCTATGACAGCACTTCATTGATGTGTCTTTGATGACGCCACATTATGCTTTCTATTATATCACGGTAGCTTATATACCTTACGACTTTAATGTTCCCTGAAATGTGGGTCATGACCCATTAGTGAGCTTTGAAATCACGTTAGTGGGCTGTGACCTGAATTTTAAAAAATGAAATAGAATAGAATAGAACATTTTAGAATGTATTACACATAAACATAGTTCCCTCTTTGGTTTATGATCAAAAAGCTTGAAAGTCACTGCCTCAAGTAGTAGTGATGTTTTCAGCTTTTATATAACAGAAAGCCTTGATCCAACCAGCTTAAATAACAAAGAATATATTATCTTACATAATGCAAAGTCTGGAGATAGATAAGGCAGCTCTATGTTTGGTTTATTAGCAATTTTTTTTCTTAGATCTACCTCATTTGTCCTATTAACGATTTAGCAACAGCCTCAAGGACCCAGATTTTTGCCATCTCTGTCGTCTTTCCAGCAACCTCCCCTCTCGTTTGCAAAATGGGCTGTAGGACTTTCTTGCATCATAACAACATCCATAGAAAAAGGAAGCTATATATCTTTGGGTCTCTATGTATCAGCAAAATAAAATCTTTCCTAGAACTCTCCCTACCCCCAGATCTTCTATATTGCTCTTTGAAACAAAGTGAAATCAAATGAATTACATACCTAGCAGGAGTGGCAAATCACAATTAGTCTAAAGCAAAATTAGTTTCGATCAAGATAAAAGCATTTTCCATGAGCATCTCTCTGGTTCCACTGGTCAGGGAGAAAGGGAAATTGATGGATCTGGATCTGGGATAGGCCAGCAAAATTATCTTTCAGCCACGCACAAGGTGCATCTCAGGAGGGCCAGGGTCCCTTTCTCTGCAATGCTTCTCACGTAGCAAGTCTAGACAGTCACCTCCACTTCCAGTGATAAATGAAATCAATCACTTTCCTCAAAGTATGAATATTCATGGGATGCAGGGACCAAATACCCAATTTGAGATACTAAAGGCTTTCTGCAGACATAGCTCATGCTTTTTGCTCCTGTATAACCCACCAGAGGTTAACATTTTTTCCAGGTTTTAATTTTTCCATTGAATTATCAAGCGTATAGGGCTAGATTAACAACATCGTACATTGTAATACAATTTGAATAATAAGATACATATTTGTCACAATGCAGATGGCAAATGAAGGTTCACAGATGGAATTGTGGCTCTCGAGACGAGATGGTGAGCGTGTGGCGGTGGGTGTGGAGAGAGGCGGTATCAGAGGTGGAGAGACATTACGTCATCCCAGATACGGGGTTTCTTTGGGAACTCTGGCAGGGTTATTGCTGAATCATTCTGTGAGGCAAATTATTGGTGTGTTAGCTGGACAAGGCTCACTGTAATTATGCCCTTGTGTGTTCCACCACTCCCCTTGGCATTTCTCTGCTTATGTTGCCATTTAAGGCCAGACTTAACATGAACGCATAAAATCATCATATCTGCAAGAGTCAGTGGCAGAGAGGATGAAGGCAGTGCTGTTTTTCCTGTCTTGAATACACGCATGTGTGCATGTGTACATGCGCATATACAGACACACACATATCCCTTATCAGAGAAACCACAGGTTCAGAGGACTTTGAACTGTGGAAAAGCTTTTGCCTCTGAGACAGTTAGAATCTTTTTGTTTGTTCCTGTTACAAATGCAAGACCCTCCCATCTGCCCAGTAGATAAAACATGACTGTGAGTGCTTTGCAATTCCTTGAAGGCTGCCTTGCGCTCAGGAGTACCAGGCAGACCTCATCTCACTGCCTGACATTAGGTGCTGTCAATGCACCTGGTTGGCCAGTATGGCCCAGGATGGGAAGGCAGCAGGCTTGGATTTTACTCTTGCTTATGTTGCTAACTTATGACCCAGTTGTTAGGCTGTGTTGGGTCAGTGGGCCTCAGGCACAGTCCCCGCTCTGCCAGAGTCTGCTTAAATTCCACTTTCAGTTTTAGGGGCTTTGTTTTAAGAAGGTCTTTGGCAAACTGGGCAGCATGCTGGCTAGAACGGGCAGCATGTGAGGTGTCCGGAGACCATGAAGAAACAACAAGAGTAGCAATTATTGTTGTATAAGGCTTTCCATCGCATTATCCCATTGGATTTACTCAATATTTCTTTACTTAACAGGGTCTCACTGTCACCCAGGTTGGAGTACAGTGGTGCAATCATACCTTACTGCAGCCTTCACCTCCTGGGCTCAAGCGATCCTCTCGCCTCAGCTGCCGAGTAGCTGGAACTACAGGTGTGTGTCACCGTGCCTGACTTGATGTGCTAAATCTTACAAGGTATTTACACTTATTCAGAAAAGATTCTAGAGACCTTAGATGGGAGAGATTGAGGCTGGTGCCTAGGAACCTTCTCCAGTGGATTATTTAACAGATAGCTTAGGACAGCTTGGAGAAGGAAGGGGTCATTACAGAGGGCTGCCGTGGCTTCGCCCTCATTTCCTTTCTCCAGCATGACCCTGTCATTGATTATAAGAGCTAATATATATGAAGCGCTTTCTATGTGCCAGAGCTATGCTAAGTGTTTCAAAGCATTTAAACTTCACAACAAACTGTGAGGTGGGTGCTGTTATTATTTCTATTTATAGATGAAGAAACTAAGCCTTGGAAAGAGAAGCACCTGCATTTCTGTTTGTCCCTGTTCCTTCTGTTCCTTAAAAGCCTGGCTCATTCTCATTCTTCAGGACTCAGTTCAAGGTCATCGGCGAGGCTTTCCCTGCCCACCTATCTAGCCACCCACTACTGACCCCAGGGCCCTGGTAAAAACACTCACCCGTGTCCATTTCCTTCATAGGACATATTAGAATCTGCAGATATCTTTTTTTTTTTTTTTAAACTTTTTTAAAGAGATGGGGTCTTTCTCTGTTGCCCAGGCTGGAATGCAATGGCATGACCACAGGTCACTGTAGCCTTGAACTCTGGGGCTGAAGCAGTCCTCCCACCTCAGCATCCCGAGTAGCTAGGACCACGGGTACAAGCCATCATGCTCTGCTAATTTAAAAGAAAAAAATTATAGAGACAAGGTTTTACTGTATTTCCCAGGCTGGTCTCAAACTCGTGAGCTCCAATTTTCCCACCTTAGCCTCCCAAGGTGTTGGGATTATGGCATGAGCCAAGGTATTTATTTACTTATTCACTTGCTTATTTTCAGTCTCTACTATTCAGACATAAGCTTGGTGAGGACAGGGACCTTGTCCCTCCTGTTTGTCCTATGTTGGTGTCTAGCAGGGTGTCTGGAATATAACAGGAATTCAATAAAATATTTGAATGAATGAATGAGTGCATGCATGAATGAATGTAATTCAATAATGGGATTTGGGCCCAAGCTTGTCTCATGCCAGAGACCAAAGGCTCAACACCCCTCTGTTCTGCTCCTGTGTTATACTCACTCATCCATTCAACAAGCTTCATTAAATTATCAACAAATGCCAGGCACTGAAGTAGGTGCTGGAGAATTTAATAAGTAAGATGCAGTCTCTGCCCTTGAAACTCTCACTTCTGAAAGGTCGAGGTAGTGGTTGGAAGTAGAAAATTGACCCACCTTATAATAGAGTTAAATACAAAGTGACATAGCAACAAAAAAAAGGGACCACCTAGCTGCCCCTGCCAGACTGGGAGGACTTCTGCAGAGCTGGTGACTTTGAACCTGACCTTGAAGGAGAATTCTGGGCTGTTGGGAAAGGAGTCTGTGTTTAGAGACAGGGAGGAGAACACACGTGTATCTAATGAGCGGCATGGGACTCTGACCATCCTACACTGTTGAGTCACATTTGGATCTCAGTGCCTAGTTGTTAGGAGGGCCACTGACCAACTGACCACTTAGTGGGAATATCATGAAGGGGAATTCTGTCTGGGGTGTGGGTAGGGGGCACTGGGCGTGGTATCTGGATGGCCCCTAACTGTCCTTTAACTCTAAGAGTGGTGTGATTGGGAGGACTGTCTCATAGAAAAAGGCACCAAAACACAGAACCAGACTATAGGGATATACTCTCGAGGACAGAATTCATGTGTGTGTGTGTGTGTGTGTGTGTGTGTGTGTGTGTGTGTGTGTGTGAATATATAGATATATTCATAGCACAGCCATATTCATATTCTTGCCCTAAATTTAGAGAATTTCTTAATGAGGATAACTACAACCAAAATGTACATATTGTAGTTTCTAAAGCATCTTCTCAAACATGATCTCATTTTATCCTCCACTAGACTGCTAGATATTCTGAAACTCAGAAAGACCATTTATTATTCATTTATTCAGTTAACATGTATCGAGAACAAAGCCCCAGACCAGACCTGGGCAGTGCACAGGGGTATAGTTCCAAAAGTGCTTAGCTACAAAGACGAAATGAAGGGCTGTGACTCCATCCAGCATGTGGGAAAGGAACTCCACCCAGGGACCCCTGAGTCATGCTGAACATGGCGGTCAGCAGCCTGGGATCCTGAGTCAGTCTTGTCCTGTGCTCACTCTCCAGGCATTGGGTAATTAATGAGATCATTACTACTTGTGTCCTGGTTAGGTTGTAGGCTGGCTGCTAAGACAAAGACCCTTAAATAGGTAGGACTTCACCACGATGAAAATCGATTTCTCTCTCATGCAGCCCTCCAGCTAGGTACTGTGGCTCTGCTCCAGGAAGTCATGCAATGCTAGGCTCTGTCCACTTCATTGCTCTGCCTGTTCTAGGGAGCTGAACCCATCTGATGGTCCAAGATGACTCCTCATTATGATTCATGCTGTGTTCAGATGCAGCTTGACACAGATGCTTAAATGCCATCTCCAGGACCTGGGCCTCTCTCAGTGTGGCTCCCTCATCAGCTGAATGAGAATCTCCTCTGCACCCTCAGACAGGCTCTTCCACTGTGGTTGTAAGAGGGTTTGGGCAGCTTCCTCTTTGATGTGCTCTCAGCTTTATGTCCAGCATCTCCCCTCTAAGAGTCAAATGAAAGTCCCGTGCTGTCTCTCAGTGACCTGCACCAATCCCAGTGGTGGGACAGGAGAAGTTGTTCACTAAGACTACTAGAAGCTCCCATGCAGCCTGCCCCCCACAACTGTGTAGCTGAGAGTGAGGGAGGGATGAGTCCCTACAGAAAATTCTCTGTACTGTTTGACCAGGAGGAGGATGAATGACTGTAAAGTAGTTAAAAAAAAATCAATAAGGCCAGGCGTGGTGGCTCACACCTGTGATCTTAGCACTTGGGAGGCCAAGGCAGGTGGATCATCTGTGGTCAGGAGCTTGAGACCAGTCTGGCCAACATGGTGAAACCCTGTCTCTACTAATAACACAAAAATTAGCTGGGCATGGTGGCAGGTGCCTGTAATCCCAGCTACTTGGGAGGCTGAGGCAGAAGAATTGCTTGAACCCATGAGGCAGAGGATACAGTGAGCCGAAATCATGCCATTGCACTACAGCCTGGGCGACAAGAGCAAAATTCCACCTTAAAAATCAAAATCAAAAACAAAAAAACAAAACACAACTCATATTTCTTCTCTCAATCAATTATATGTACTTCCAGAGCATATGATCCATAGCAGCTGTCTTCAAACTCCCCAGTTTTGACTATGCCTCCAATAAGCACATTTATTTCTTTGTAAGTATGCACATGTGCTATTCTACTAATATATCTGTGTGCTACAGACTACCGTTGTGCCCAGAGGTCCATCCTTTCCTACTCCCTTAGTATAGCATTCCCTAATGGGCACATGGTATCCTAGAATAGACTACATTTCCCAGGACCCCTTGCAGCTAGGTGTGGTCATGTGACTCAGTTTTATCCAATGAAATTCAGAAGGGGGGGGGTGCATTTCCAGGAAGTGTGCTTAATGGGAGAGCATGCAGTTCTTCCCTCCTTTTTTCCTTCCTGCTGCCTAGAATGTGGATGTGATGGCTGGACCATGAACAACAACCTTCGATAATGAAGTGGAAGCCACATGTTGAACATCTTGATGCAACCAGAGAAGACACTTTGCTAGCTCTGGGCAGCATACCACCAGACTCCATTTATTTTATTTTATTATTATTATTTTTGAGACAGAGTTTCACTCTTGTTGCCCAGGCTGGAGTGCAATGGCACAATCTCAGCTCACTGTAGTCTCTGCCTCCTGGGTTCAAGCAATTCTCCTGCCTTAGCCTCCCGACTAGCTGGAATTACAGGCATATACCATCAAACCTGGCTAGTTTGGTATTTTTAGTAGAGATAGGGTTCCTCCATGTTGGTCAGACTGGTCTCGAACTCCCAACTTCAGGTGATCCACCCACCTTGGCCTCCCAAAGTGCTGGGATTATAGGTGTGAACCACCACACTTTGCCAGACTTCATTTATATTCGAGAGAAAGGAACTTCTCTCTTGTTTAAAATGTTGTCGTTTTGAACATTCCTTTCTTTTAATCACAGCCAAGTCTAATCTTATCTGATATGATTACAATGCACGTACTAAAATTGATATAAAAAAGAGATACAATAACTATAAAGTTATGTTTGATAACTTTGGGAGTTCTAATATTTTTGGTACCACACTGGATAGAGTCTCACATCTCTTGAGTCAAGACTGCATTCCTGCCTCTCCCTGCCCATTTTAGAGACCTCGGTCTCCTCAGCCTATGGTCTGTGGTGCCCAATAGGGCTAGTGACATTTGTGGCTGTGCATCTCCCCTCCTCTGAATACACTTTGCTCTTTGAGGAAGGAGCCCTGAAGGAAGTTCTCTGAGTCACCTAGCACAGCCAGGGCAGAATCACCCTCAGTCCTTGCCTCTTGCTTACTCTTTTTCTGTCATACAGACCTTGCTTTTGCTGGGAAGAAGACAAGAAATTCTGAAGGAATTGAAAAGATAAGATACAATCTGAATTTAAAGAAGTGGGCAATCTGTAATTGTCAGAAAAACAGATGTGCACTTCCAGCCTGTGCTGCTGCTGCTAAGGTGCACCCACTCACAAACCCACTTCTCCGGGCACATGACTCTGCTAGCTCTTCGGGGCTCTGCAGGGAAGGGGTGAGGGAGGGGGAAGAGGCAGAGAGCTGGGTTGTCTGAAAGCTTTCCCCAGGCCTCACCTTTTTCTTCCCTGGAAGGCAGTGCCCGTGAGGTCATATCCGTCACACCACCTCAGACAGAGATTGTCAGGATGAACTCAGTTCCATCACTCTGAGGAGAAGGGTCTGCCGATCCCCATCCAGGCTGAACCTGAGAAACCAGACCCTGCCTGGTCTCTTTAGGATTTGGGCGAGTCCATCCTCCCTCCCTTCTCCC